TTTACACCATAATAGCCTATTTTGCTATTATAGGCCCATGTTAGCTAGCTCAGTTTTGAAACGAATGAACAAAAAAAAGCTTTTAGTCAACAAAACAAAAAAGCAAAAAAGTTTATTTCTTACATTTATCTTAAGAAACTTGAAAAAAAAGAAATTTTATTAAATTACCTTGTATTTTTATTATCTAATGTAAAATATGACAAATCGCTGAAAATTTTTGATTTCTTTTCATTGCTTATTTTTCTCTTTCTACAAACATCTGAAAGTTGGAACAAAAATTTAAACCTAGAAATTGATAAAATGAGTGGTTCTCATGCTCTTAACTGAGAGCAAGAAAATGTATTTTAAAAAAGTCAGTTTTGAGCTTAGAACCGTTAATGATGTTTATGTAATTTTCGAATTTGAATAGTTGCAGCTTCGCTAGTTTTCATGAATAAAGTACATTAGATACTCTAAAGTATTCTCTCCACTGTTTGTTTACAAGCCAATTCTTTTCTTATATTTAATTTCAGCATCAAATGTTTCTTTTCAACCAGATGTGATACTGTGTCGTCCAGATACACCACTTTCCATGTTAGAACAAAGTATTTGCACGCCGCCATTTTCCAATACTCAGCATAATCCAGTAACATATCTATTTTTTATTAGTTATATATCTTTAAAAAAAAATTGATATAAAGTTTTTTTTTCTAATCTGAAGACTTCTAACAAAGCAAAGGGAAATCGACATGAATCAAATTTTTGTTTTTGTAATTTTATAACTCTCTAACAAGAATCCGTAGTAGTTGTGATTTTTGTCTGATGATCCGCTTACTAGTTTGTGGTATACTACTTCTTCTTGCTTTTCCAGGTTCAGTTTCACGTTCCTCAAAACTCGTTCATGAATTCAGAACTCCAAAAAATTACGGGACAATCCATGTGTCATAATACTTCTCTTACAAATCGTGCCACAACATTAGTTTTACCTGATGCAACGCTCCAAATAGTTCCACACGTAAATATCGTGAAACGCTATCGTGCCTTGAACATTGTATCCATAAGAGAAGCTTGTCATCAACGAAGATATTGTCTGGTTGCACATCGTAAACGAGTGCAGGTATTTTACAGTTATTTGTTTAACTAGGCCCGATAAGAGTTTCAGCAAGATAAAATTTTGTTTAATATCAAAGCATTCTTCATAGCATTTCATGTTTGGTAATAGATCGAATAACAAGGATACATCTGTTACCTCTTATGAGTATGTCCCATGTCAAATGTAGCAGACTTGGGCCTAAATGTATCAAAGACACTGATTAGGTACAGTTAGAACAGCAAGCTGCATCCTTTGGTTTTTCGAAACTTCATTTCTCTCAAGAATTTAATTCGTCTCTTTATAACAAACAGATTTACAGTTCATTTCAAAGTGTTTCATTTCAAGCCTATTTTTTGCAAATTGCATGCTGGTTTGCAATTTATTGGACAAAGCTGGACAGCAGCGCTACGTATCGCTGACGAAACTTGCGATGCACTTGACTGTTTAGTGGATAACGGTGCAATAAGTAATTTGATAGGTTTCACGCCGCAGGAGGCGCAGGTTTGTTTTTCCATGAAATTGTAAATATGAAAATTTATGAATACGGGGATGTACCAAGATGAAAATTTAAGTTCGTCCTAGAAATTATGAATACCGGAAACGATGAAGGTTGTCAAGTGCAAAGCTGGGAATTATTGATGGTTTCAATAGCAAACAAGATTGAGCTAGGCTGTTTAAATTGTGTAGAAGTATTCAAGTATTCGGTTAGAACAGTACTTCACGAATATGCAAAAATTTTTAGCTTTTCAAACATTTCATCATGTTCTTTTAAATGAGATTAAGGGACAGTATTTCCGTCCGGATGGAACTGGCTAATGCGGTTTTCCTCAAGCTAATGAAGCCTTGATCTTTGGCCAATGATTGATTAAACCTTTCTCATCTTTCTCTAATAATACTACCAAGCGAATCAATCAATATTCCACGCATATTTCACGCATATCTCTTGATCTCTTTCATTTGACCGTGAGAGTCTTACGTTTTTTACCATCATTTTTCTGTGTGGGAAGAAATCTGTTAACTTCCGTTTTGGGAGACATCTGTTAACTTCCGTTTGGGGAGACATCTGTTAAATTCCGTTTGGGGAGACATCTGTGAATTTCTGAGAACTTTTTTGTATTATTAAAGTGGCGAAGGGAGGCTTATCTTGGCATGCAGTAAATTCTATAAATAGTTCTGATCATATACTAATTATATCTTTTTGAGCCGTCACTCATTATAATTATATAAACATTATAATTAAAATTTACCGTAAAAGCAAAACGACGAAATTTTTTTGAGATAAATTTTGCAATCTGAAGCCTGAATCAAAGACATCTCTTTTGGGAAACTTAATGATTTAAAAAGTCTATGGACTAACTAAAGTGGTTAGGAGAAACAGAATAAATCATTGCAAAGCCTAGGAAATGATTATGCATTAAATTAAGCATGTCAATTCAATAATCCGTCATTAATCGATTGGTAAATGATCGAGCTAATGTACTTAATTTAAAGTGAAATTTTAAACATTGGAAGTATTAGAAATGTGACTTAGAAGCCAAATTTTATGGCAAATATTAATATTATCGCAAAAATTTCTTTTATTTACGTTTAACTTAGTCATTATCATCTCTTCTCTGATGAAAATACCTGAGTAATATTCTCTCCCATTCCAATTGACCTCAGTTGTATGATGTATAATTGAAGGTATAACTTATAAATATCATTACGGCACTCAATAACAAGGCCATTACTAGAAGAACATATCCAATTAAAACGCATGCCATTAAATGATTATTTTTCGTAGATTTCTGTTGCAAAAATTCATTGTGATTTTAGCAAGCGGCAACAACTAATGATCGTGTTCGCGTAGCGTATTATAAAGGGCGTGCTCAAGCGATGCTTGAAACATTCAAACGGTTAGACCTGGTGCTAACAGTCGAATTTTCATCATCCTCAGATGTTCTGCCACTCATCGTCGATATTACCAATCTTTCAACAGCACTTAGTTTATGCTAATATATTCAATCCTTCTATATTTATACATTCATCATATTCTTTATTCCTTCAAGACATGCTAACTATAATATTCTTTGTTGCTTTCTTGTACATATTATTTGTTTTGTGTTTATTCGTCATTATTATTTTTGTTTTTTGTTTGTTAGTTTGGTTTGATTTATTTATTTGTCTTATTGCTTATTTGACCAGTATTTGCTATTCTTTACTTTTCTTGTAGTTCGTTTCTTTTTTTTGTCATTTCTTAAAATACTTTATTGGATTCTACAAAAATTTTTTTGCTCCATTTTTTTTTTGCTTATCGTATTTGTTTCATCATATTAGGAAAATTGGGATTGGTTTTCAGTCTTTGAATTTATTGGTGTGGATCAGTTTGTTAGTTTAATTTTTAATAATTTTGCTAAAATATGTTACAATTGAGTTTTTTGTTGTGATAATTTGGAATATATGAGTAGAAATATGAAGATTTTACGGTATTTATAAATCAGTTGTACTGTTTAATCCATCCGAAAGCTGAGCGTTCATACCGTTTCAGAGCTATGATCAATAGACATACTTATGCTACTTTAATTTATTTTGCCATTATGTTTTCTTTAAAAAGCCTGCTGATTTGCTAACTATTCATTATATTGGAATTTACTTTTTTAATGTTTTTCTCTCAAAAATCATCAATGCGTGCTGTATAAGTTCTATGCAAATAGGAGGATTGTTATCTTCTCCATTCTGCTGTTATATTTAAATTTTCCTTGTTAAAAATTTTGGACTTTGATGATTTAAAGAAAGCATCATATTGCTGATTAAAATATTGTGTGACTTAAATGAATGAATTAATTAATATTCCAGTGGTATGAGCTATCATTATAATTATACAGTCGAACGATCGTATTTTGCTTTAACACTTATTTATCTATTATGAGGAATGATACACTTCCATGTATCGAATGAATTGATATAATAGTTCGTATTCGTTGCGTAAGCAAATTTTGAAATGATTTATTGCCGGTTAGCTGCAGTTTTTTTTGTTAAACTTGAAAAGCATTTAAAATTTTTATTCTATGGACAGTAATTTAATAAAGATCAGTAGCATAAAATTTCATAGATATTCTTTTTGTCCGAAGTTATTTCTGAGTTTAATTTACGTACAGCATATGATAATTTATGTCATATTAATTGATATTTGATCAATAACAATTGAATTGGATATCTGTCATAATTCATTTTTAAATTATAAATAATTGCTCCTTTATGTGTCTGTTTATTAATGGCAGAGATAGATGATAAGTAATAAATACTGTAGTGAAGTTAGCAATTGCTATTTGCATTTTGATAAGTTCCATGCAATTAACAATTCAAATGAGTTCACACCGGATGAGTCATCATGCTACAGAACATACTATTCTGTAAGTGAGGATAGAAGGAGCAGAATGCCTCGTTTTCGGTAAATTTATCAAAATATTATCGCTATAAGCTGCTATTGAACGGTACATTCTCTCAACATCCTTCCTCTAATTTACAGGAATAGCGGAGATGGCACTTTTGTCTTTTTTTTTTTTAACTTTTCTGGACAGTTAAAGAGGGAGCCATCTTGCAAAATGAATGATAGCGCTGAATTTCTTTTTTTCAAAGCATTGATTTAATCTTTAAGAAAATTATAAGATCGCATTCTAACACTCTATTTGTAATTTATTTTTTGATTCGCTGGTTACATCGTTGATTTCAACCTAGAATATTTAAAAAGTTCTCACTTACCCTTTTAAAATTTTATATTGTAATCAAACCCATGAGTTTTTACTGTATATATAACATTAAAAATATTCATCAGTTAGTGAAATGTAATTTTTCCTTCAAAAAAATTGTAATAATTTTAAACTCGAACGGATTTGGTATTTTCAGAATTTATTTCAACAATTATTAAAAGAAGTTAACAAAAAAATGATTTAGCAACTACATTGCATATAATTTCACTGGCATGAAAAATATTTCGATAATTTCTCATTTAATTTATGTTCAGAAAGAAAGATAGCATTCCTAATTGAAGTTAATATATTCGGTTGGAAATAATTAATGGTTTATTTGATCATTAAAGTTTGAAATTTCAAAAGCTTTAAAAAACATTTCTTATATTGTTAGAAAAAGAAGAATAATAGAATCAAATTAATATGTTATACTGATTGTTTCCTTAATTTGCAATGTGTTACTGAAGAAGAAGAAAAGAAGAGAGAGTTGACAGTAATAATTGAAATTTATCCGTTCATATTCGTTACTATCTCATTGCTTATTGTATTATATCAGAGATGAGTTCATTTATTTCCTTATTACTTCTGATAATTATCAGTTCTGTTCCAAACTGTATCAATATTTATTCTTAAAGTTTCAGAAATTTTTGGAAATTTTAAAAATTAATCCAAGATCATACTTGAGTTTAGATCTTCTTTTTGATATTCGCCTATAAATGCAGTCAATCGATTCAGATCAAAAATGTCATACCTAACCAGGAAAATTGCCAGGCTAATTAAGTTTTTTGATAGAGAAGTGAAGGATTGCATCATTAGTTGCTGCTGTTTAATATCCTTTAAAATGTATTACTTTTTTTATTAATAGATTTCAAAAGTCAAAAGAAAATATTTGAAATTATGCCGAGACTGATCCGCATAAATGATTAATCTGATGTATCGAAATCAATTTAAATGAAAAATATTGCAACTTTCATCATTTAATTTTATTTCCCGACGAAGATTAACTTGTACTTAATTTTGGACATGCTCGCTTTCAATCTCTCGAATAAATCACCGAAAAATTCCTAAAGCAAAATGTAATATTCCAAGTATTGTAATATTTAATTCTGAAATAACTATTTCTTTTTTAAAAAACGAAAACTAACAAGTTAGATAAGAATAAATTTGATAAAAAAATGATATGGAAAGAAAAGAAAAATAATAAAAGTAGGAAAAATAATAAAAGTTTGCTTATTTTATTACATTTGAAAACAAAACTAAACATGAGAAAAAGTAATGCTATTCATTTTTTATGATATTGTGCATTTGAAATTAAATTTAATGAAAATCTTCTATTATACTCTCTGTCACTGCTAATTTCTACATTGCATCCTTCCAATATCGAAGATATTTTGACAAAAAAAATCACTGTTTCGAATTTGTCAATAATTTTTGTTATCTCAGCATCATGTCAATTTACTTTTTATAGGCTTCCAATTTTTATTTTATTAAACAAAGTTGAGTTTATGGAGGTGTGTTTACTTTCTATCATCGTAATCTTCCACCATCATTGCCAACTCTTATCATTTTTGTTTATTTTTTTAGTTTGCAGCACAATCTGAAATTCAGAATAATATTTGCTTACTGAAATTTTGAACTTTATAATTTGTTAAATTTGATATAAAAGAGTATTTCAAATTTTAGATTAAATTTTATCATAAAATTGATGCTGAATAATATAAACTGCATAATATTTAGATCATCAAATTTATTATTGCTTAAAGCTTTATTTTCCTTTGCCATTAGCAGTTTTTTTGTTCAACTCTCGAAATCATCATATTCGTTGGGATTTCAATGATTGAGATGATTTTCAGTGCACATACGTATGATTTTCAAATTTGACTATCCTTTGCAACTGTTTCATTGTTATTCTATCCTGACCACTTTTTAGTATTTCCTCAAATCTCTCTGGAAGAATCGGAACATATCAGTCATTAGCTAATAATCATCAATCATTCAGACAACAGCTACTTACTCTTACTACAAGTGCTAAATTTATTTTCAATTTAGTTTGGCAGATAATTGCGAATTTGTTTATTTCAATTAATCTCTCTGGTCAGTCTGGTAAAAATACTTTACATTCCTAATGAAACTGGTAATAAATTGATCGTACAGAATTTTGTTATTGTTTTGTGTTATTAAATTACAATTTGGTTAGTTTTAAGAATTAATTCGTCACAGAAAATATCGAATAGAATCAGCAATTTTAAAAACTACTTTTTAAATTAACTTTTATGAAGATTTTTTTTTTTCATTTCAGCTAAATTCAATTTAAGTAGTGTGATCATAATAGAAATGATGAAGAATGTAGAAGTGGTCAACTGCTTTAGCATAAAAATATACCAGTGGTCATTTTTGTTATTAAAAAAGTGTGACGATTTCTGAAGAAATGGTGAAGATCATTTTCTATGGTTTTTTATTTACACTTTTATGCTACTTTATGCCAGGTAAAATTAATAAATTTTACCGTCATTGAAAAAATTTTTCATTTGTTAAGTTGAACAATTAATTGACCATTGAGAGCTTTCAGGACTCTTAATGGTCAGCTAATTATTTAACTTGAGAGAGAGAGATACAACTCTATTGAAATAGTTCAATAGCAGTTAACTGAAATTAAGAGTGAATCCGATTTGCAACATCTCTTATCATCTACTAGATCACATAGTTTAACGAGTATAAGTAAGCATAAGAAATCGCAAATTAATAATTTCATGTACTTCCACTTTTTTTTTTTTATTTTAACTTCATTTTCATAACCTTTCAGCTAAACGTGCGTAATATTCACTATTCTTAGATTTAAAATTATTAGTAACAGATAAAGCATAGAGGAGTGATGTTAGGTTAAAAAAAAGTAAACAAATTTCATGACATTAATTGAATGCCTCATCCACAAAGATTGAAAGAAAATCTTGAAAGGCGTCAAATTCAGCTTAAACGTTTTTGTAAAGGGTTAAAAGACTTTTTATGTTATGGTAAAAAAAAAATGAAATCCTATGAAAATCAATGATATTCAATCATTTACTTTTCATCATCTTTTTCAAAGATTGCCCATTATTTACATATCATCAAAAAGTGATTTGTAGTTTGGAGCGCAGTACACTTCCAACGAAGGATAAAACTGGCCGGTGTTGCTTTTCAAAAGGTATACGAATTTTTTTGCGTAAAAAATAAAATTCATTTTTGATGATAAGAAGTCGTTTCTCAAATTAGCTATTTTGCGTATTTTTTGTTTTCGGCAGTTATTACTTGGAAAAATGAATCGATCCTGAAGAAATTTTTTCAATTACTGTAATCTTTAAAAAACACTGTAAAAATCAATGTTAAATTTTTTACGTTTCTGGTACGATCAAAAAAATTTTTGCAATGAAGAGAAAAAAACTTTAATTTGAGTTATCAAAGTAGAAAGATATTTATTTGTAAAAATGTGTGATATTGTTGCATTAATTTTTCAACAAACAATTTTTTTGATTAAATTAAAAATTTATATTTAAGAAATTTTTTAATCCTAAATATTTTTTAGAAAAACAAAATTTTATTATTCACAGGAAGTACCACTATTTCGTAATCGGAAGATACGACATGACAATGCATCATTCAGATATCAGATTGATATTCTAATGGTGGCCGATTATTCTGTTTATAACAACTTCTTGGATATTGTTCGGGGTGATGAATATTCAGCACTTTTTGCCACGAAAGATTACTTATATGCCATTTTTGAGCAGGTAAATTAAACGAAAAGAAATCAAAGTATGAAAAATGGCACGTTAATTAAGATTAATGAGACTATGTATTAATTGCATTAGTGAAACTAATATTAATGAAATTAGTTAATGAAATCAATTAGTTAATAAATATTAATAAATATTAAAGAAATTAATTAATAGATATTAATGGGATTAATAAAGCTAATTATATTAGTGAAATTGTATTAATGAAAAATATAATGATAATGATTGTTGATTAAATTTATAGTGGGAGTAATAACAGTGCTATATTGTTATGATAACGATCATGAGGAAAATTTTCACCTGATAACGATGTTGGAAACTAAAAATAAATTTAAAAATCTATGCTAATTTTATCTTTCAAACTAAATACATAACTTGTTATTTTAAAAAAACGATAGGTGCGCTCAATTTATGACAGTAATGGTTTATTCGAGAATGTTCCGGTAACTCTAAATTTGGCATCAACAATGACAATAATCCGTGAAGATGACTGCCCATTAGCGCCATTTCTAAATCAAACTAAATTGAACAATTTGGAAAATATAACGCGGCAAAATCTTCAGTTTTTTTTTCTTCTATCTAAAATTAAATTTATTTCAACTTTTGAAAAAACAATTCACACAGAGTGTTGCAACAATGAGAACAATAATAGGATAAATAAAAATATTAGTGAATATTATAAAACAAAAGTACTTTAAAATTTTGAAAAAATTTTTAAAACTTCATATAATCGTTACAGTATCATTTCTGATGTTATTGAATGTTAGGGGAAAAAAATGTATACAAAAAGATATACTTAAAAAAATGTACTTAAACAAAATGTATTTGAAAATATCTATTTTAGAATGAGTGGATTAGATGCTGTAAATTATGTGCAAAAATGGGTGGCTGCTTACTCACAATGGATTCCAGCGCATAATCATATCATTGTTCTGACAAGGTTTGTGAAATGCGCAAATTACAATTTAAAATTAGATTTTTTTTTAAATAATTAGAATTCCAATTGTTTAAATTTAAATGGATTAAATTGCTAATCTGAGTATGTTTGTTTATTTTTAAAATAATTTCATTTTTTTTTTTCACAGAATCGATTTACTCTCTCCCAGAGGTGATTCAAGCACCCAAGGAATGGCATATATTGGAGTAATGTGTCATGTCGCTGAATCAGCAAGTGTGGTGGAGGATATTGGTGGTATGGCTACAGCTGTAATTGCTGCTCATGAACTAGCACACAGGCATGCATTCATAATATACCTGTAAAAATTTGTTTAATTAAAAGCAAATAACAGATATCTTTTGAAGAACTTAGATTTCAATCAAATAGTTAAATATTTGACTTTTTTTTTATCCGAGAAAAAAAAACTATTTTATAGCCTTGGTGCATTTCATGATGGCACTACTGGATCAGCTGAGAAATGCGGAAAAAATTATCTGATGTCTTCAACAGTATCGAGCTCAGATGATGAGCAAAAATTCTTCAACACATTCAAATTCTCTCCATGTTCAATTCAACAAATTCAATTATTTTTTGCGTATTTTTTACTGAAATTTGAATGAATGAGAATACGTAGGAAATATTTTCTGGAAAAGTTTAAAATATATTATTGAAAAAATAAATTTTTTTAAAGAATTTGATATTTTAAATTTTGATATATTCTTTCGATATTCAAATTTTTGCTGTGTATTTTAGACTAAAGATCTGAAAAAATCTGAAGCATTGCAGGAATGGAACAGCTGACTGCTTGTTACGATCAAAAAGTCGTGAAAGACGGTTACGACGCACTTCGCAACGTAAACATCGCAAGCCTGGAGAAGTGTTGGTGCAACAGAATCAATGTAAGATAGCATTTGGACCCCATTATAGCGTTTGTCCGGTAATTAAAATTTTTTTTCCTAAAAAATGCGAGTAAAAATCGAGATACCAAAATTTAATTATAAAAATAGCTGAGTGAAGTTTAAGAGAAGAGTCGGGAAAAGCATCTACGAGGCCTGTTATAGTGTAAATATTATTAGATTTATTGAGTTTTGATCAAATTTCTTTTCGACACCTTAGTAGCCTTCCAACAATTTCTAAACCACAATTTTAATCATTTATTAATGATTTAACTAAATGAGAGGATTAATTTAGCTTAATTAAATTTTCATATTTCATTTCGGTTAAGAGGAAAGAATATTTATCGAAAGATCCGTGTCGACGACTTTGGTGCCAAAATCGACAGCTGCGCAAGACGGATCCGTGTGAAACCAAACTATATCTACCTTTATTGGACGGGACTAAATGTGGACCTGATAAGGTTGCGTAAAAATTAAATTACATTTTCCATGTAAAAATGAATTATTAATTTATCATAGCGTACCAAATTAGTTGGAAATTTCTTTGAACACAACTTACATGTCAGCTTTACAACAAACATAGTTCATAGGAAAACCGAAATTTCATCCAGCAAAAAATGATTTTAGCTACTTACTATTAATTTAAAATTTTCACCAAGTTCCAATTTATATAATTTTTAGTGGTGTCTTGGTGGAAATTGCATAGCAACCAATAAAGAAAAGGAAAGTAAGCTTATCTATAAATATCATATTTTCTTTTGGAACTTCTTGTAGTAACTTTTATGTTTCTCTCAAACAATTTTCAAATCACATAATGCTTAAAAACATACCTATAATTAAGTTCGTATTTTTCAAGTATTTCATAATCTTCTTTGCTTTTGCAGTAAGCATAAATATATTTTACCATTACTAAAGAAAAAAATAACAAATTTCAGACTGTGCTGATTTGAATTCCTCAATGTGTGTTAAATTACCGGATGAAAAGCTTCGCAAATATTGCCATTCGAAACAGTTCCGTTCATTGTGCTGTGTTACTTGTTCTCATTTCATCTTATGATTCATAACTGAAATGTTAGATTTCTCTTCTCTGACACATTTTATGCTAACTTCAAAGGAATATTCGATTCTGAAATAACTCATCAACACTTATTTTGTTTTGCAATATTATCATACAACTAGAATTCATTCCTATTCAAATTTTAAAATCCTCTAAAATTTGAAGATATTTCTGAAATTTTTGAATTATAGAATTGAAAGTTTTTAGCTATAGATATTCGATAATTATCAAGTATTTCCTGCAGATTTCTCTAAAAGATATAATATGCTAGCGTACCTCTCATATTGCTCATATGACAATTAATGTATTAAAAAGCTATCAAAAAATAAATAAACTTAATGTCCTCCTCTCCCTTACTTCTTATCATACTTAGTAGTGCTGAAAATATTTTAATTTTATCATAAATTCTTATCAATAAAATAAGCAAATCATAATATCATCGGCAACTTGGTTAGTCATTTACACCTAATATCAAAATTATTTTTTCAATTTGAACATGTATACGTCTTATGTTACTATATATTTGTAAATGAAACAAAATCAAGACAAGAATTTTTATTCTGCAGAAACATTTCACTTTGCAACATTTTATAACATTTCAAATTTTACAGGACATGACACTTCAACTTGAAGTGAAGATAGCGTTAAAGTTAAGCAAGAACATTATGACCGTATGAAGCAGAATAGCATATATGAGTATTTCATACCGAATGCTCCAGAAAATAACAAAACATGCTGAAAAGAAGAGAGTAAGAAACGAAAAAAAAAAGGATAAATACGTATACTAGAGAGTTTTGAGCACAATTTTGACTGTATGACGTTGATTACATTCGCCTGGAATTTGAGTTTCAAAACTTAATCTTATATTTGAACTTATTATGGTAGAGGTATTACAAAAGATAAAAGTTTTGTCCCAAGAAACGAGTAAATTTATCGAAGATTCATTAACTAAGAAAAAGTATACACATAGGAATAAGCGATTTCCAACAGACTCTTTTACACAGTTTTAGTTAACAGAATAAATGCTATGTAGTTGAACTACTATGGAACCATCGAAGAAAATACAGTTAAGAAATATAAATCAAAGAGGAGGATATCCCTGAAGAAGATCAAAACGAATAGGACAAAACTGCTTTAAAATTATTTTATGGAGAAAATAATATTCCATATTGAGCTCATGAGAATTCGGTGATTCCAATAAAATTCTGAGGTAAGGTAGAAATGAGTTATAGTGAAGTAAAAGTAAAATATTTTAATAAATTTGCAAAAACAACGAAACTTCCTTATGATGTTCAAAAAGTTATAAGGCTATGAAACCAAAATATTAACTAAAAAGCATATAAAAGTTTCCGAAAATCTTACCAAAAATTTCTGAAAACTTTATATGCTTTTTATAGTTAATATTGCAGGACATGATCTCAAAATTATTCAAAGCTTATTAAATAACTATTTACAGATTTGTCTTACGAGAGAGGTTTGAGGCAACCTGATGATCCAGGGTTAAGTAATGCAAATATAAGATTGGATATTTAGTTACTACTTTCAAAAAACAAAAATGGAGGAAAAAATCCTGCAAAAGGATTAGTTACCAGTATTAAACATCACTGCACTCAAAATGAGAAAAAGAAAAAAATGCACAGAAATAAAGCTAATAAGTTCGTGGTGTTCTGCTGAAATACTGATCGAGTGTTCGTTGTGTCCCATTCGTTTTCCTTGGTTTTGGTGTTAATTGACGCACATCAATTGAAGGATTCTGAGAATGTCTTGAGCTTTGTGAATCGGTGCGAGATTTTGCTGGCATTTTTACTGATTGTCGATGCATACGTTCACGTGACTTCCATAGACTTTGTTTAACGCGAATTTTACGAGGAGATGTGCGGTCAGCGCGTTCCTTCATTGAAATCATATTTGAGCAGTTGGATGGTCTATAAAATTAAAGACATTCAGAAGTGCAATGAAAATAAGAAAGTATGAAGCAAATAGAGAAAAAGTTAATGAATTTCAATAACAGCGTTGCACTGGAATCAAAATAGGTTTCAAGCATATATTCAGACAAAAGCTATTCTCCCAATCTTTCCTACTTCAGCATACCACAAACTTATAAAAAAAATATTGAAGCCGAAAAATCTTACCGATCTGAATTCGATGAGTGCTTATTCAATTCTGAATTTTTTCCTTTATCTAATATGGTCGATTCCGACTCTGAATTCACGTTCGATACAGCAAGTCTTTCCTTGACAAAATCTGGTAAATTCATCGTCGGATATCTTGAATGACTCATAATTTACTGTAGAACAACATCGAGAAAACATGTTAATTCAAGAGTGATTAAGCTAAAGATCCTTTGGAGTTCAAAAGTTTCAAGAAACCAAATCAATACCAGAAACATACTTGAAATGAAAAGCACATAAGACTCGATTTTTCATCGGGATTCCGGAAAAATCAAGTTTTCGTGCAGCGTGACTTGATTTGTTGGTAAGATCACAGAGTGGTGGAGACAACTGTTCAGTGATCCTTAAAAGGAGATAATTAAGAAAAGCTGAAGAAAAAACTGTTCCAGAGTTTCTTGCAAGAAAATAAATTGATAATAAACTTTAAAATTATACTTGAACATTTTTTTCACTGGCGACCCACTTCCACTTTTCCCTTCTACACCAACCCGATTCAGAGGACTTTTAAATGGACTTTTAAAGGGACTTCGTTGTGTTTTTTTCTTTGGAGTTGAAATCGATAGATCCAATTCTTTCCTATAAAATACATATATTCCTATATTAAATTTTTATAAAGGAAAAAAGAAAGATGCAAGTAAAACTCTCCAAAATTCGGAGCTCGAAATACATTTTTTGAAATGTTCAGAAGTATGAAAATGCAGATATAGAAACATATAATGAAAAACTGTTGGATTTATCATGAACTGCATCCTTAAGCGACAATAAAAAGAAAAGAACAAGTATAAAGCATACATTGACATTTCAGCCCTGGCTGTTTCAGGCAATTCATATAATTCAACACGATCCTGTATCGAGATAGGAGATGATTCTTGATCTTCAGAACTTTTCGGGTTCCATTTCCAAATTTTTAGATAAGAATCATCCATCGTAGCAATATAATGTCCACAATTGCTAAATCTCGCAACGGTAACCTGAATAAGATAATAAAGGGAAATTGAAATTACAGAAACTGTTAATGAAATGGAATCCAAAGCCATAAAGAAAGAAAATGCATAACACGAATTCACGAAATTTTACCGTAGCAGACCATTAGCATAAAAGTAAAAAATTTTAACACACCATTAAATCGCATATAATTCATTCAGTTTAAGTATAGAAATAACGAACCTCATAGCGGTGACCACCTAATGTATATTTCGGATAAGGCAAATACTTCAATTTGCTCTTATTAAAGCTCGAATATTTTTCCTGTAATAAAATAAAATCAAAATATCTTAGGAAAAACTAATTTTGAAATTCAAAAAAAAAAAATTAAAAAGCAAAATTAGAAACCTGTAAATCCCAAATAACAGCAAAGCAATCGCCACCTCCAAACATTATATAATCAGAATTTGGCGAGGCAGCAATTTTAAAATCATATGTGTTGAAAGACGTTCGCTTGACTCCTTGCAAAATACCCACTGAAATTTTCAAAAAACCCTTCATAAATGGAATGAAATTAGATATATTACAGGTAACTAATTTGAATGATACTAAAATGGAAAAAGCACCTGGTGTATTATTTAATCCTTGAATGCTATACTGATAAATTTTTGAGTCTGTGGATGCAACAAAAAGTGATGAGCTAAAGCGATCAAGGCATATTGAAGCAATACCTTAAAAATAAAAACGGTAAGTGATTATTTTAAGAAAAAAAATTGTTATTTAAGTCATAACTTCGAACAGGAGTATCTTGAATAGAAAAAATATTTAAAACTGATTTATTTTCTTATTCAGGGAGAATTATTCAGATTTTTTGCACAATCCACTCATCAAACTCAAATTACTTAATCTCAATCTTTCAAAAAAAGAATTGAGAATAATGTAACATAGATCTCATAGATTGGAATATCATGTTTTTGCTTCCTAAAACAAAAGTTAGTAAAATAACCAACTAATTTTTTAAAATGAATGCAAGTTAGAAAAGAAATTTAGAGTAGCAACGCACCAAAATCACGAATTGAAGTACTGTTAGGATCTTCAAGAATACGAAATGGACTATTTTTGCCACGATAACGGAGATCCCAAAAGCGAATACCTCTGCAATAAATTCAACATCTGAATTAGTAACTACGAAACATTAGTATGAAAAATAAAATATCATTAGGATGAGAAGCATAATATAAGAGCATATTATTTGCAAAAACAAATTTTACGTTTTGAAAGACGAAGATGCTGATATTAGGGTGTTTCCACCATAATGTACTAAGGAAGTGATTCCTTTTGAGCTCATCGAAACCGACGTGCGCGACCTTCGTTTCGTCCCAATACTTTGACCTGAAATGCATGAATAAAACACAAATTAATGTAATCAGGACTTAGAAATAGAATAACCAATACAATGAGAGAAACCAATGGTTTTATGAAAATAACCAAAATAGGTTAGGAGAGAAAATTGGGTAAATTTTGGGCCTTGATTCATTACACGCAAATGACTGTTCAGATATCAAATAAATACAATGCAAATTTCATCTAATGCGATATAAACTTAGAGAAATGATGAGTACTACGCTCAATCTGTACTTATCAACTCATATTTGACCTGATACACTATTTTTCCACATCTTTTGAAAAAAAAAACAGGAATAACATTCGTTTCTTTTATATGTTATTTGTCGTGTTTTGACAAATTAACTTGGAGCATTGTTCCACATATATATAAGAACAACATACGTTCAGGAGCTAGTAAAGGATGGGTGCTTTCCAGAAGATTGAAGGGACGCACAACAGTGGCTTGCGGTTCTCTTCGATCCCATATGCAAATTGTTCCATCTCGAGCCCCTGTTGCAAAAAGTTCTGAAATTTGTAATTATTTCTAAACTGTGCCAAAAATCGGAATTCCAATAAAACGCCAATATTAATTGAAAAATGCACAGAAAGAGGATTAAGAAAAGCTAACCAGGATTGTCGTCTGATACAGAAAGAGCGCGGACCGAACCCTCATGACCCACAAACTGTTGCAATGCAAGTTGCCGTTCAATATCCCATGATGTTACCTTTGCATGGCCAGATATAGAAAGTAAATTATTCGGACGATTTGCAACAAATGACACATCAATTACACAACTTCTATCCGCAGAAATTGCTAGAAACACAATTACAGATAACTCAAATTTCTGTACAGCTCTTCTCAAGTAAATAACTTCTCTACAAAACAGTTATTTTAAAAATGCCCTCAAAATAAAAACAGAAATAAAATGAATAAACAAAGAGAAAAAAAATCAAAAAAAAATATCATCATCAATGTATAACGACCATTTCACCTACAATATCCATAACTAAATAAATAAACTTACATTTTGTTATAGTATCTTCTCGAGCATCCAAGAAGTGAATAAAGCCGTTTTCATCACCGATGGCCAATAAATGTTCAACAGACGGATCCTTGGCAAACTGGCAAACCACCCATGCATTCTGAAATTTGTATCCAACATAAAATGATAAGACGTTTAGCTTATTTCATTTTTAATATTTTTGGAAGTATTATGTCAAGTTAGGTATCACAAATTGAAAGAATTCGCTTCGTCAATTCCTAATGATAACCGAATAGCTCCATTGACATACGATTCATATTTATCTTAAAAATCAATTCTTTGACCTTCAATTATGCTAGTTCTTTTGCGCCATTAAAATTTCATAAAAGTGGAAGTGAAACTATATAATCGATCGACCGGAGCATTTGAAATGCAGTAACTTGAAAAGTAAAAAAAAATTACCGAAGAGATAAGGCATTTAGCAGAGGAATATTGCAGAAAATACGAATCTGGTACTACCCGTGGTACTGTTTGACCCTGGTACATGCAACGAATACCCATTGACCTTTGACATTCGGTATATGTTCACTACCGACCCGATTAGGTTAGTTTGAAATTCTTGTTCCAATTTTCAAATTTGAAAAATTGCCCCTACAATGCAAATCTAACATCTCATACAAAGAAGAATGGGATGGTTTGATCTGTTCATGATGATAATGGTCAATGTAAGAATTGTAAGAATTTCCCGCTGTATCTTCATCCCGAGATATCTCCATTCCCCGATATCTTCATCTCGCGATGCTCTCATCATTCTTTAACAAAGCGGTCTGATGCTTCGTAATAGATCAAAACATTTGAGGAAAAAAACAGATATCCCAACAGATATCCTAGAAAGTTCATATTCCGAGCTTTGTAACAGCTCGAAATATGAACTTTCTTCAGTTATGACAAAATGTGAACTCAAAATTTGAACTTAAAAAATCTCAGAAAATTAAATTCACCTGATTAAATCACACTATCTTTTTCTCGAATTTATTCAGTCAAACTTATCATTTTTCTTTTTCTCCTGTCAATGAGAGAGGGAGAGGGAGCAATTTTTCAAAATATTAACTGTTTTCATTTTCTTCATCTACTGTAATTCCACAAATTTTGCAAATTTTTAAATGCGCTTGTTTTTTTTAATGCGTATGATAGCGCAAAGATACTGAAAAAAAGCTGAGTAAGTGTTTTGAATTCATGGAGTAAAAGAGTGACTTGTTTGCTCAATATATTTCATAAATCATTGATAAGGATTGATAGGCTTTTTACTTTTTGATTTTATTCTACCGCTGATTAATCTAGCAATAAAATAATATTACATTTTTTCAGTACTTTATTTTAAGTGATCATTAATAATACTTTTACTACATCAATTCAATTATAATCACATTCGGATCTTCTCAGTAACACTCTATTACTTTGTTTTCTTTTTTCATGAGATATTGTTCAGTTTTTATCAGCAAATAAATTTTGAATACATCACAGAGCGATACAACATTTCCGCTCAACAATTTTTGAAAAATTTTAGTTAAATTACAAATTTAGCTTTGTATTCTTATTGTTTATACATTTATATGTCAGATATCATATTTATATTGTCTTTAAAGATTTGGTAAAATTACTAAAGTTGTCTGAAAATATGAATATGTACAGGTGTGTTTAATGATTATCGTTATACAAAACTACTTTGCTACATTTCGGATATATGAAGTCGTTTTCCCACTGTTTCGTTCTTTGAAGAGTTTGAGGTCAGTTTTTATTAATATTTTTTTTAATTTTATTAATTTGATAATTTGATTTGCAAGCATCTCCAATGCTTTTTTTTCTAGGGATCAACTCATTTCAATTGAATATTTGTAATGAAAGGAAGCATTTTTAAAATTATCAAATTAGAATCCTAATCAAAATATTTTTGAGAGAAAAAAAATTACTAGCTGTACTTATCACACGAACTTTTCATATTGAACTTTAAAACTTTCAATACTTCGATTTTTTGCGAACGCCAGTATTCATCTTCTATCTAAAAAAAAAATGGTCAGTAATCAATGAATCACTAATCAACATGAAGATCTCGATTTGCTAATTTTTTTATGACTTTTTCAAGTCATCAATAATTGTCTTATGTTTGACCATTTGGACTGATTTAACTACAAACTGATCATTTTTTCAACTTTCCGATCTGTCTATATGAAGCTTCTATTGTGTGATAATTATTACCGGTTGATCTCACATGAATTTAATTTTAGTTTTCTCAATCAAAACTAGTTTTGGCATAAAAGTAAAGTGATGAAATAAAGTAATATGAATGTTAAATTGATCAACTTAATCGTTACTCACTCTCTATGACTTATAAAGCTGCTATGCATTCTTTTATTGTTCACATAATCCTCATTTAAAATTTTCTCACAATTATGTTTTAATGCATTTATTCTTTTATGATTTATTATGATTTCAATTCAAAATTCATATCTTATCCGTTAATGTAATCTATTCCTATCATTAAAAATCTTTTAAATTGTTGTTTTGAATTTTAATTAATCCACATATATGTATGAATGTGGTGATTAAATTTGAATACATTTAACAGATATTTTGGTTGCTATTAAATTGTTTTCTGAAAAAAAAAAGATGAGATAATAGTGAGACATTAAAAAAAAAAGAAAAATAAAATCTTTCGAAATAGAAATAGCATTCAACAAATTGGCAATATAATTCAATCGGCATCAAAAACTGACATGACATTTCAAATTAGTGCTGAAGTCAGTGTTGTTGTAAAATCACTATATGTGCATTATACTTTTTTTTTCGCTTCACTGCTTTTCTTCCAAATTTTCGTGAAAATTTTTCGCAATTAACTTTGTTGGTAACTTATGAATTTGCCAAAGGCTACTGTTTCTCTATTATGATTACGAAATATTTCAATAAAGAAACTTTTCTTGCCTTTTCAATGCTATTTTTTGTTTTGGATGAAAAGAAGCTTATATGTTGAAGATACAAGGGATAGAAAAAAAACGCCTTTAATATTGTCAACAAAGTATTATCGTTAAAAAGCAAACGTTATTCCCTATTAAAATTCCTTTCTTACCTGTTTATTAATGCAAATTGCGCAAAATTTTAGATTTATCATTTGAAAAGAAAGAAATCCTGAAAATTTCCACTTCTTAAATTATGATATCTCTATAAACAATTATGTTAGAATAATGAAAGTAATTTTCTTTTGGATCGGCGCTTATTTCCTGCTTCAATTTTTTCATCTTTCTGATAACGTCATGCCATCAATTTTGAAGTATTGATGTGAGTTGATAGCATAGCTGATGTAAACAAGGCAAACATAGCAAATTTAACTAAATGGAAGGAAGATTGACTTCTGCGCTGCAAAAGTCAAAAATCGAAATAATTGGAATTCTTATTTTAGTCTTTTTTTTTTCCTTCCTCCGAGGGCAATAACAAACAATTTTTTCTTTTCGTCCGAGGAAAACAACAGATATCGAAATTTTTTCGGTAATCAAATTAATGTGTAACTTTTAACATCTATCATTATCTTTCAAAATATTGTAAATAAACTTTTTTGCAGTGTATAAAAGACATTTGTGCTTTTTTGTAACTTTTATAATTTACAAAAAAAATAAATAAGTGCAAATCTCGAAAAAAAAAAGAATATTTCTATTCATTTATAAAAATTTCAATTACAGATATGTCCTTACCATTGTTAAATTCAACAGAAGTGTTAATTATATACGGCGGTGTTTGTTGTTTGCTATACGTTGAAGCAGACGGTTTTCATCGTGAAACGCCATTTATGAATATTATGCCAATGCTTTCGTTGACTATTCTTGCGTTAACATTACGTGTAAAGAAGACAACCAAACTATTCACTTCTTTAACATTTTTAGTTTTTGGTAAGTGTAATTTTATTGATAAAAATTAATCAGAAATCAAACTTACACAAAAAAATTCAATTTTAAATTAAATTAAATTAAATAATGATAGGATATATATTTAAAAAAAAACAAATTATACAAATAGATAATAAATGAGACACTGAAAATAGATAAAGATTCACTTATGACTTGATCAAAAAAAAGTTAAGTTATTCCTTTTATAGCATTTTATTTTTTGTTATCAAATTACGTTTTTTCACGTAATCTATGCATTCAACTTTCTCAATTTTAAATTATGAATGATTTCTTCTTAGCTCTCGCTGTATATTTGCATTCATCAAAATGGCGTAATAATTTACAAAGCGTTTATGGTGCATTTACGATCGCACATATTTTATACATATTATCATTTATTTTATCTATCCGACGGTTATGGTTTGCATGTGCGGTAATGGTAATAATTTATGTTAGTACTTTTCTCCATTTCTGTTTTGTTGATTTATTTTGGTCCATACCAATTTTGGTCCTTAACCTGTCACTTCATTTTATTGTACTTGCAATTTCATTGATTGCCGCGGGATCAATTTGGTATTATGGATCTGATATTAAAGAAAATAGGCAAAAGGTTTGCAGATTTTGAAGTTTTTTTTCAGAATTTCTTCTTTTCTTTTTGTTAATTTCTTTTTTTTTGTTGTTGAAATATACAGAAATTTTTTTTCAATTCAAAACTGCGGAGATTTGCTCGGTATCATGAAGTGTTTTCAGCAATCTTTCAAATGATAGTTTTATTCGTTTAATTATTTTTTATGTGCTTTTTCAATATCTCATTCTTTAATCATAAATTTTGGCTTGTCATATTGAATCATTTTGAAAGATTAAATAAAAAATAGTTTGACAAAAAAGTAAAATAATTTAAAGTCAGAGTTAATATATTATTCGTTACTTGTAATGATTCAAATAAATTTTAAAAGATAACTGACAGCAATTATATTATTTGAAATAAAAGCTTTTTTAGTCTACATCGATCTGCCTGAATTTTTTGATTTAATGATCATTTTTATCATTAAACGATATTTCAAACCGTTTATTTCTTCCAATGCTTTTTTTGACTGATCTATTTTATTTACGAATTTCTTTTACGAATAAATTCCCTTTCTTTCTTTTTCAGGATGCTTTATTAAGATTTTTGGGTTTGTTGTCGTTTATGGCTTGTGACAGTTTGCTAATATTGGATCGATTTGGAAGTCATATTAATGGATTCAATTACTTATGTACTGCATTATTTTATATCGGTCAACCATTATTGTTTGTTGCAAATCAACAAGCCTTCTGAATTGTTCCATAATATCACATTGTATTATTAATGTGCAAATTGATTTAATATGAATGAATCGTAACAATTTGAAATGGTTTCAACAAAAAAAAAAATCTCTCTATAAGGGTATAAAGCTTATAAACTATCTATTCGCAAATATTCTCAGAAATGACAATATCCTTATATTTTACACATCTATAGAAAGTGAATTAAGCTAAATTTATTTCCTATAGACGTATAGTGCATCTAAGGCTTCTAAGGAATTACAAGAAATTTATTCAGAAATGAAATGAATTAGGGGAACTTTCAAACGCTGCTAATATCCATCTAAACTACATCATAATAACATGGCATTCCAGAAGCATCCATCCTTTTCCGGATCTTTTTTGAAAGCAATTTAAAATATAGCAATATGTATGTTGTTGGAAAAAAAGCGAGAGAAATTATTGTTGATTTCTAATATTAAAAAAAATGATTTCCAAAATTTTCAAAGTGCTATGAATTTATATATGTTTAGTGCACTAATTGGTAGATCATTATCAAAATTGTATTCATTTCTTAGCAACATGAAATTCTTTTTTCAATATTTTTAGAAGTTAAACTCAAATTTGGTAATATGTAAATCTTGCTGATGCAAGACATATAGGATTAAAATTTAATGTTAATTTTTTATTTGATATTAATTAGAGTTGGTGAATTGGTGTTTCGCCAAAATGGTTGCGCCAACTTTACAGAGCCAAATAAAAAAATCACAGAATCAGTCACAACAATATGGTCCAGTGAAAGAAAATAATGTCATTAATATCGAAGCCATATCAATGGGTAATGATAGTAAAGTGGAATTAGGCAAATCAGCTGTGCCTGCACCATTTGCGCCTATGACTTTTCAAATGACACCTGTGACGCCATTTACAGTAGTGCCAGATGGTATCCCTTCCTCTCGGGAGGTAATTATCTATCATATAAATCATTTGAATTATTATTAAGTTACGTTTACCAATTCGATATCTTGAATTCATGCAGAAATATTCTATTTTATGCTTTAGAAGAAAATTTTCAAATTGAAATTCTTCCAGAATACTCTTCTCAGTACAGCAAAATTGGTGACACGAAATAAAAGGAAACAGAAAGGTGGCGGAAATGGCTTAATGATGATTGCTATTATGCATGTGACTATCACTTATATTAATATTAAAAAATATGGCGCGCTTGCCAATTCTTAACATGCTGTTCTTCTAGCCTTTTGTATTGTTAACTAAAAAATTCAAGAAATTCTAGAACTTAAAAAAAAACTATACTTTTGTGAAATTGTTTATTTGTATACCATTGTAGCTTCTTCTTGCATGTGGCCTAATAGACTTAGGTATGTTTCTTACCATTCGATTCAATCATTACGGTTATATATGGCCTGATAGTTATGCAAAATTATCTGTTTCCCAATATCGACTTTATCGTAATCAGGTAAATACTTTTTCTCTATGAATATTTGAAAAAAAAAAGTTTTTGAAAATATTTTCTAGTATTTAATGAGGAATGAAGAAAATTAATAAATTACTTTACCTTTAAATGAAATAAATAAATTGTTTCAGATACTTTCTATCCGTGCACTCTATTCACCTGTAACAATAGCTATTGGTTTGATGATATTTTTCCCGAAAATCATTTATTTATTAATTATTTTCTATTCCAAAGTATCATTTTGGCGAGCAGTGATCGTTGATGGTGGCATTTCTTTTCTTGCACTAACTTATGCATTCATTACAGGTCTTTCTTTCATTTGAAAAAAAGTCTAAAAATGAATTTAACATGTTCGAAGAGTAAACTCTGTGAAGGGTTCAAAGTTCAAATAGCAATCTTATCATATAAGAAATTATTACAATGAAGATGCTAAATGAACTGAACAAATTTTATGAATGTCCCACGATTAGTTGATGTTGCAGGTTCACATGCATATATTATATTGCGCAATATTTCAGAGATTGATATCGGTGATAACAGTGATATCCTTTGTTATGCTATCAGGTAGTTATATAATGTACTATAGCAGAATACGCATTTCAACTTCTTTTAAGTACAGCAATTTAGTCAGATCAGTTTTATTTTCAGAGGTTCACGTGAAAAAGCATCACAAGAATTACGTGATCGATGTTTGCTAGTTGCATATAAAATGTTTGGTAATCACTTATCATTGCAATCAATAATTGCAATACTTGTAATTATTGTATGCATTATTAATTTCAGTTATCTTTTTTATGAAATGAATCCAAATGCAGTGCAAGTACAGAAGAAAATTCAACTTCAATCAAAAGATCAAAAAAAATTATTTTAACTTTCCATCTGTTACAATCATCTAATGTTGAAATTAAATTAAATTTGTTCAAGAAATTACTATTACAAATCAAATTTTGAAGAATCAAATTTTATATGATTCAAAAGAATCGATAAAGAAAAAGTAAAAAAAAAAACTAACAAACAACAGATTGTTTCTTCCAAATCATATTAGTGCTTATCCTAAAATATGGCCTGTTTTTATGCACATTGCTATTTGGTAAGTACAGCTATTTTAGTGAATTCAATTTATTTTAATTCAATAAAATCAAAAGATTTGATGATTTGAAAGTTTGAAATGATACCGATAGCCATAATTGAACGACCTGGCTTGGGATCCTCAGTTGCAAAGCGTCTCTCGCTGTTTAAAAAGCTCGATGGGTGAAAGAGAACAGGGTCGGATGTCGGGGACAATTGTGGTATGTCGCGGGGTGGTGGGGCATTTGTGCAGTTGGTTTTGATATCATTGGTGTCGTTGTTAGTATTTGTTTTGCTTTATTTACGATATATCAAACGTCATTCGTGCATGAACCAAAATGTACCCAAAAGGAAGCAGCCGCTAACATCAATGCGAATATGCTGTGTGGCTGGATCAGGTATGTTTTTGTTATGCACGTTGCTTGCATATTAAATTTTTTTTGAACAGATGGATACGAAATATTTTGCCATTTTCCTTGACTGACTGCAATCTTAACTCCAATGTTGTAATGGAAATATTTGATTCGACTGACTAATTTGTATTTGAGATATTTGTGTCCATCCAAATATTCGAGATATTTGTAAATAAATCACACTATACTAGAAATTCTAGCAGAATTTCTAGTATAGTGTGATTTATTTGTAAAATGAGAATTCTGAATTTAGTACATCCAATTTATTCTTCAGGTGGACATACTGCTGAATTACTGACTTTAATGTCTGCCTTCAGGCAACAATTTGGTCATCGTATATATATTGTTTCTGATACTGACAAACTAAGCGAACAGAAGGTGAAATATGTAGAAAATGTCTCCATATTTAAACTATTGACAAATGTTAGGAGCTTCTTGAAAATAATTTGCTAAGAGGTTTTTTGTTTTATAAATTTTGTGAAACTTAATTTTTGAAAGCAAAAGATTTTGTGAAAGCAAAAAAGCTCTTGGATTATCAGAGATATTTAAGATAATCGAATTTGAGAAATGGCAAAGCTCGGGGAATTTTCGAGTGGAAAGAATAAGCAGAAGTCGGGAAGTAAAGCAGAGCTATGTCACCTCAATATTCACAACAATTCGGGCCTGCATTGAAAGTTTATTCTTGATGTGGCGGATAAGGTAATTATTTTTCACATGTAAGATAGAATTTCAAGAATTGTGAAAGAAGCAGGTGGTTGAAAATTACGATCCTTTTGGCTCTTGAAATCCGGATTAGAACTTTTTTTCAGTTAGACCCGAAATACGTTGTCATCCATTAATTGTAAAATTTTTTTATTTTCTGGTAATTGATGGAATGTGAAATTATTCTTCAAAATGTAAAAATATCAAAGATTTCAAAATTTCAGTCTAATATACCATTTCTTTCCAGGCCTGATGCAGTTCTTTGTAATGGGCCAGGTGTCTGTTTACCGATTTATTTCGCTGCAGCGTTGTTAGATTTGCTACGACTGCGTGATATATGCTTATTTTACGTTGAAAGTTTGTGTCGAGTTAAAAAATTATCATTAACCGGACAGATATTATATGAATCGCGTATTCCTGATATTTTTTTTGTACACTGGAAAGATCTTGTTCAGCGTTATCCACGTGTTGTTCTGATACCGTGCAATCGTTAGGATAATAGACTCTGATTTCCGAATATGCAATATAATTGTAACTGGTTCTAATAGAAGCTCTGGCTATGAAGTGATGAAATCATGAGATAAAGTTACTCGATTTCGAGCTTTAAGTGCTAGAAGTCATTTGGTGTTTTGGCTCCTGAGATTTTTGTGCTGTAGAAAATATATATGGTAGTGATTTTTTTTCATTTATATTTATAGAATGGTAATTTATTTTTCTGTTAGTTTTAATATATTTTGCTGAGTAAAAACAGATGAAAATTGTTAAATTTTTGATGAATTTGATGAGTTTTTCAATTGGCAAAACTGTTTTTTGCTCAATTCACTTTTTTAATGCTCATTTCTTTTCAGTTTAATAATTATTGATGAAGTGCCACAAAATGATTACTCCTGTTAGAGACATATGTAACCGTGCTTAATGCTTATAACTGAGTCATGAATGGTTATCATTTTTTTCTTGTGTAGCTATACTTGCTGATGGTGATATGATATGGATGAAAATAACAAGGGATGTATCCTGTATTGAGATCAATGATAGATCGTGTTATAACATTTATTAATGGACTAATTATATGAGAATTTCCCTGAAGTGGAAGAAATATCGATCATCAGAAATCAATCATTTTTTTGTATTGCCGTGTAATGATTCCATCTTTGTTACTTTATGAAAAAAAATGCGTTCTTTATGAAAAGATATTCTGGAAGAGAAATAATCGCTTTTAAGATTTCTTTTCAACAGAATTGTAACAACAGAATCTCAATAGTATTTTAAATTTAAATATGAAATGTCGTGTTCAGAATACCTGTTCAAATGAGGAATGCGTTTTTTTTTTTTTGTTAATTGAGAATTGTGTGGTAACACATCCATTTACCTCTTAGATCTAGGAGCAAAAATGCAGTGGATAGTGTTAATCGTTTAACCTGTTCAAGTGCATTTTACATTTCAATAATATATGCATAGTTTAAGACTCATAAAATAAAATAAAAATTGCAAAATATTCAAATCATTCTGGTTAGTATATGAAAAGTATATGAAAAAAAAAATCCCATCCTTTCAAATAATGCCAAATACTCCAATTCGACCATAAATATTTTGGAAAACACTGGAAATCCTTCAGAACTCCGTTTCAACAAGCTGCAGGAGTTTGATGATATAAAAAGAAACGCTAAGACAGAAGTGATGTTGCATTCATTTGTAATTTCATTTCAGCATTTTTAAATTAGTAATTATAATTACTTGGTACTTAACATATGTTTAAAGTGCTTGTTAGAAATACAAAGATTTTATGTATCTTTAGCATATAAATTTATGTTTTCTTACCATATATCAATTAGCAAAACTTCATGGTTATTTTATTTCGAATTTGCATATTTCATTTAGCAATACATAAATTTATTTTTAAGCAATCATTTGAATAACTCTTATGAGGAAAATAGAATATTCAATAATCCACCACTTAAGAATTTGGCAAGAGTTTTGATGATAAAAATTGTCACTGTCAAACAGGATGTTTCTATATTTTCTCTGGTCTGCATGATATATCAAGTAAAAGTAAAATAAATTCTTCCTTCCATTTATATATTGTTACAATCAAAAAAAAGCACTAATATTTTGGATAGCTTTCATTCTTCGAAATAAAGATCAATGGAAATGATAAAGCTGATGACTTTTAACTTTTGTAAATTTTTCCTAAAACAATATGAAACATTCATATAGCTCTTATAGTACTGTTAAAAAAAAAGAATTTATTTGAATGTGATCACAAAGATTACTGCTTTACCCGTGTATTTGATTAGATCGATTGAGAAATATTCTTTGCAATTTATTACCTAACAAAATTGAACAACTCATTCGTCTAAATCGGATTCTAATATTGAAATAAGGAAGATGTATGCAATCAGTTTAAATGTATACTTGTGAAGAATTTAAAATAAAATGTTGAGATTATCCTATCCTGAGAGTTAAATATGATCCTCGATAAACACAATGGCGAATGGTTGGAGGTTATAATGTTGCACTACGAAATCTGACCTATTTTTGTGCAAAACTCGTGCAGCACAACTAGCCGGTCTTTCTGATTACCGGTTGAATGATATCATTTTGTTGGAGTATTAGTTGAAGAATAAGTAATTCGGTTAATTCAAAATACGTACTACTCTTGTATGCTAAATGAACGTATGAACAAATAAGTCTAATGATCACGAACCCATCAAAGCTGTTCAGTTTGCGTCGAAAAAAATACCTGACAGGCGCGATATGCTTGTAATTTATGTGGACTTGATTTTTTATCCTATTTTCTAAAAATAAGCAGCGCACTGTTGTTTGAATATCTTATCTGATGAAACTATCACAAATACAAAAAAAATGCTATATAACATTCTTGCAACAAATTCCTTCACGCAGAAATCCAATCAATATTCATCCCTCTACTAATACCTCTTTTGTTGTTTTAAACTTTATTTACAAATGTTAAAATTCACTAGAATGATATAGATAAAACGAGAAACCAGTAATTGTAAATGAACCGAATAGAAAGTATGACCATGTCAGTGAAAATATAACGTCTTAAAACAGAATATAACACACAGAACATAACAATATTGGATTCAATAATAGAACTGAAAAGAGAGACCTGCATTCAAAAAAAGAAAAAGATAAAACGAGAGAAAATAAACATAAAGGCAGAACTCTTTTCTGGATTTTAAGGACGAAGATGGAGCAAAAAAAACAAAAGGACAAGGACAAGGACAAGGACAAGGAAGACCATTAGATCAATAAGTAGCAACTATTATCACCCAACATTAGGATTTCACCTTGTTACACAGCTCCATTCACTCCCTCCTCCCTCTTTCTTAACATAACTCCATACAACACAAGAAATATCCAGCTTTAGGCAAACCATCATAGAAGAGAGCGAGGCATTTTTTTATTTCGTTTCAGATCTTAAAAATTTAATTTTTTTGTATTTCGGTAATTACTGGAGATTGAATTATAAAAAAAATAATAACATAACTATTTAATTGTACAACAAATAAAAGTACTGAAAATTCAAAGCAGCTGTGGAGACCGTTTCAACGAAAAGGAGTAAACATCACAATACATACCTTTCCTCCTATTCGTCCCATACTGCGATTGATACTGATATCAATCACATAAGAATTTCAAATTTGTGACAAAGAAATTTCATACAGAACACAAAATTGATAACCATTATTTTGGTAACTTTACATACACAGTAAACTCCATAAAAAGTGAGCAAATTAAGTTAATGGCGACCATCCCCGCTTATAAGCGCTAAAATGGAACGCATCCATTGCATCGAATATTCGCCCTTTTTAATTATTTTTGAACTCTAAAAAAAAACTTAGCTTATTTTAACGATTCATATAAGTTCAAATCTGCAAACGCATCATCATGTAGTTCCGGAAGATCTTCCGCAATCACCTGAAAAAATGATCAAATATAATGAAAAATTAAGCGTAAACTTACAAAGGCCATTGTTTCCATGAATTAACGCCTGATAATAGAAGCAGTTTTACTCAAATGAACCCACATCATTATAATTACAGCTATCTTATTAATAAGCAGCATTATCAAAAATTATCTAAACTAAATGTATCAGTAATAAAATTAAAATCTGAAAATATATTTGTCATAACGTGTGTATAAAAAATTTTATTAAAAAGTTAAAAAGATTTTCATGAAACAAAGCTGTCATATATTTTCAACAACTCAAAAATGATCCTTTATCATGTATTGCCTTTAGTTCTATATGCTCCTCAGCTCTTGCTCAGATGTAAAAGTAAATAGACACAGCTAAAAAAATAGTATTTCAAATGATGCTTGAATTTTCTCCATATTGAAATTAAAATGCAGTATCATTGATGAAATACATACACCTTCCACAGAATTCACTTCGCTTTGCTTCATAAGATACTCTTTGATGTTCCCGAACATTGCCGTTGTCTCTTCAACCTGTGTAGAAACTTCTCTTTCATCAATATACGATTCAAGCATCCAAGTTAGATGGTCGTTACCGAATATGGGCACCAGATTTCTATAAGGAAAGAGTTGGAGAAATAATATCGCGATTATTCAAAGATTCAGAGACAAAAATTCACTAAGATTATAGAAAGATTTCGCAAGTAGTTGAGAACATTAAGTATTACATAGCAATGTATGCGTTATTAATTATCTTAATGTTCCCATGCTTTTATAAAAAATATATACATTATCAGGATCATTTTCGATGATCCTGATAAGTACTATATTTTGAGGAAGACTCACAATCAGAATATTGACATAATCAAAAAACCTTATTTTCTATAAAAATTGTAAAAAACTAACTCTTCCGTGCACCAAATCGACTTTTCCGGTAATCCTTTTGAAAGATGACAATTTTCAGCGTAATGCTGTCTAAGCTTCTGTAACGAACCCAAGTCACTCCTACCACACACAAAGCATCTTCCATTGTAATTTTCCTTACGTATGTAATTAATCATTTGCACCCGTTCATAAACACCCAGCTTCTCCTTTTCGATAATTCCGAGAATATCGAAGTGATGAATATTCTGGAAATAACGATAATGTATCCTAAAGTTTTTCTTTTTTTTTGTGAAAAATAGTGGGAAAATAACAGGAAAACAATAATAACGTTACCAAAATGAAGGGCATATG